TAACCAATAGACTTGTTTATTATTATTTGATAAGAAGAATATAAGAAATAGTTTTATTAAAGTTCTTATACAATCATAGTTCTTCCAAAAGAATAACAAAAGAACAAACCCTCAATAAAAAGAAGTAATTATTTAAAGCTAGACTTTTTAAACCCTATAATTAATTTATATTAAAACAGTATAATGGGAGTAATTAGCAATGCTTTTGTCTTAACCATTATATTTGTAGGAGGATTGTATTATGCGAATTGTATCCTTGACCCAAGAAGTTCATTATCAAAGAATGCAAAAAATATGAAACTAAAACATAAACCAGCCCTTGTTTCACATAGAGGGGGAAGAGGAATTAAACCAGAAAATACTATTGAAGCAATGAAGTATAGTTATGAAAATTATGATGCAGATATGATAGAAACAGATATTCATATTACCAAAGATGGAGACTTTATTTTTATTCATGATGACACTTTAGAAAGAATAACTAATGGAACTGGATTTATTAAAGACCATACACTAGCTGAGTTAAAACAGTTTGACTTTGGTTATTGGTTTACTGATGGTAAAAGATATCCGTATAGAGGAAAGGGAGTTCATTGTAATACTTTAAGAGAAGGATATGAAGAATTTAAAGATAAAGATACCATTATGTCAGTTGAAATTAAAGACAGAGATATTACAGTTATTGACAAATTAGTAGATTATCTTAATAATCTTCCTGGATATGAGAAATTTATGTGTTTTTGTTGTGCAAATCATACAATGGCTACTTATTTTAAAGAAAAAACTAATCATCAACTATGTTATGAGGCAAGTGAAATAGATGTAATTGGTTATGTCATTGCTACGTCATTAGGAATAACTAATCTTTGGTATTATTTTATTCCAAATGAAAATAGATTTTTTCATGTACCATTCATTTCTATTGGAGGCATTGATTTTTTAAATAAAAGGATGTTACAAATATTACCAAAAATTGATTTAGAAATTATGTATTTTACTATTAATAATAAAAGAGATGCTGCTATTTGTATTGGAAAGAAATGTGATGGTTTAACAAGTGATAGACCTGATATTATTGAAGAATTACTTCATTGTATTACTGAAAGAGAATTGGTTCATAATGAGAGATTTAATGGTGTTATATCATTAGATGCTAAAGACATTTCATGGGAATGTGAAAGTATTTATTGTAAATTTATAGACTCCGTGACATCCACAATTCCAATTCCATTAATTTTCATTTGTAGTATTTTTATAATCAATATTTGTTTATTTAGTATTATTCATATCCTTGTGACCATCCTTTCTTTACCATTTAACTTATTTAAAAAGAAAATTGAATAAAATTTTTTCTAATTGAATTATTATTTAAATCATTTTAGTCTAATAATTCATAGATAATAATTTGTTCTACTTTAAATTTAGAATCAAATATATCAATTGTATTTTTAAATTCATAAGACTCTTTAATAGTTTTGGTTTCCCCATATCCTTTTAATGTACTAACTATAACACTTCCATTTTCTTCATTTCCAAATGAAAATAGGATGTTAGAATTGTTGCTATTTAACTTCATTCCTACTTTCTGTTTAGGATAAACACAAACACTATTTAATTCACCACTATGTGCAAAACTAAATGCAAAATGGTGTTCGTCATAAATCCAATGATCAAACTCAACTTTATCTTCTAAATAACAACCAAACATATCACTTTCATTCATTATAATAAATGCTAAATTTTTTTTACCTTTAATTTTTTCATTCATTTCTTTACCATCAAACTTTAATTTTTCTGAGTTATAAATTTCTTTACATTGCTTTTTTCCAGTCCATTTTTTAAGGCAATCACTTTGCAATAATGCAATTTCTTTATCATCAATAGTTCTATCATTTTGCTTTGTTTTTTTTATTTTAGTTTGAGTGCTTGATTTAGTTTTCCATGGAATTATTTTATTGAGATCAGTATTAGGACATAATTTTGAAAGCTCTTTAGAGTTAACTGTTTTGTCTTTGGTAGATGAAGTTTTGATATCATTTACAATATCTTTTCTTATTTCTTTAGCTTTCGTCAATTGATTTTCAACGTACCACTTTAATTTATCACTAAGGTAATCACAAAATGATATAAATTCTGTCGTGTGTTGTATTTCTTTTGTTAGTTCATTGAACTCTTTTCTCTTGTTATCAATTCTTTTATAAGTGTCTTCTTCTTCTATTGTAGTAGGCTGTGTTTTCTCTTTATTTTCAAGAGAAATAAGATAAGGCTCTATCGCTTCAAAAAATTTTTCAGTTTCATCAAAGAAGTGATTGTCAAGTATAGTTTTCATTAAATACTATTATTTTTTTTGAAGTTTGACATTTTATATAGGTATTATAATTTATTAATTAATTTATTATTTTCAATTTTTTATGCATTTGTTTATTCTTTCTTTAAAATTAATGGTATTGTTACTTATCCCTTTTAAGAACTCATAATTACCCCTTCTTATTTTTTGATTTTTTTTTTTTTTTTTTTTTTTTTTGAAATTAGTAAATAGATTATTAACGGGTTTTATGAATATTACAAATTGATTATTTCAGTATTTGCAAATATTCTAATTTCTATTATAAAGTTCATCTTTATCACTATTTCATTCTGGTATTAATATTGTAATATATTGACAGAATTGGATATGTAAAATACTACTTATTTTATGTTTTTAATAATGGTTGTTTGTATTATGTTATTGAAACTTATTCATAATTTTAATACGTATGACTTCCGCAGTTCATTATTAATATTAAAGTGATGGCTATTTCTTTGTGCCTTGTTTTTCTATTTTATCTTCATTTTACTTTGTTTATTATCTATTCAAATTCATAGTTTACATCATGTTTTCTTCATTTAATTGGGTTGCATTCATTAGTCTATTAGTACTAATCCTTTTACCAAATATTTCTTCATCTTTTTAATTATTTCACTCAGGTTGTCTTTTGTTTGCTCTATTATTTCTTTTCATTTTTTTATTTGTTTTGATGTTTATGTCTTATTTTGTTATGACATTTATTTCAATCTAATAATATGTTTTATATCCATTAAAATTATTGCTTAAGGAGTTATATCAATATAAAGTTGATTGAATTAATGAGTGAAATAATTCCTGCCGTTTTAATCTAATTACTGTGCAATGATTATACAATCACCCTTATTGTGATAGTCACTATGCTAATAACAAAATTCACCCAGATTTAAAAGATGTGTTAGTTTCTTATTCTTTGTTATTACCATCATTTTATCATTTTGTAATTTATATAATCTATTTGAAAGAATTCATAAAAATAATTGATATACGTTGTGACTTATACTCACTGTTAGTTAAATATTAGCAGTATTGAAAAAGAATTATAAAAGTAGTTGTTTAAGAGTGAAAAAAAGAACAAAAATTATGTAGAAAAGGGAAAAAGAAAAATTAAAGTTAATTAAATAATCAAACTTTTTTTAAATCATTAAAGAAAGATAATGTTGTAAAGTTCTGTAAAGTCAACTAATGAATATTCGATACAATATCATTAATTAAAATTGTGGATAAAACAAAGCAATAAAACAAGCAAAAAGAGTTATTATATTATATAATAAAAATTTAACAAAAAAATAAACAAATTCATGTAGTTTTATAGAAAGTGTATACTATCGAAATTAATTTTATGTCTAATAACTGGAGAACACCCACTTGGTCTTGAAGTAAGTGTTTTAGATGAAAAGTTATAAAAGCTAGTAATAGACTCTGTAAAGCAAAGACGTTGAGAACAAAATTCTTTTGTAAGGTTCAAATGGTCCAATTGTCCTGTATAATAAATATAATTAAGTGCTGCTTGGTCAAGACCCCAAGTAAACTTTTTTCCTTCAATATTTTTTATTTCAATTGTTAATAATTCAATAATTTTATCAATTCCACCAAAGAAAATACCTCCATTAATTATTATTTCTTTACGTTTTGCAAATGAACTTGCAGCTTCTCTTCCAAAAGCTTCTTGGACCCATTTATTATTAGTTGGCTGAATAAATGTTGAACATCTTCTTGAATATACCCCATAACATTCCATTAAAAGAATTAAATCATCTTTCGTGAATGTTGCAAATGCATCGTTGAAATAGAAAACATCTCTAAAATCAGAAAATATTACTCGGTTGTATTTGTTTTTGTTATCTTTTAGATACTTTAATGAAATAAAAATTCTTTGAACCACTGCATAATTCTTTGATATTTGTTGAGAAGTATTTGTCATTTGAATAACTGTCACACCATATCCTTCCATTTCTTCTAAAAAGGTTATTGATGGAGGTTTTCCAATGAGGAGAAACACTTTTGTAATTTTTGGCATAACAGCATTTATCATTGGTTGGATTATATCAACGTATTTCTTTATTTTTTTCCATACATTTAATTCAATAGAACCACTGTATAAAATTAAATCTTGTTCATTGCTTGGTTGGTATTTAAAAACATCTCCACACCTCCCTTTGTAATTGAATTTGGATAAGTCAAACAAGCCGTTCTTGTACTTTGGTTGTGGTGGTTTGATATCCTTTATTTCATATTTGAATGGTATTTCATTTGGATGATATAACAATAAAGATAAATAAATTGTTATTAAAAAAATAGAAAGTATTATTAATAACTTTGTTTTCATATAAATTTATTATAATCAATTATTCCAGTTCTTCCAAGAAGATTATTATTAAATGAAGGAACTAATTTGATAGAATTTTTATCCAGTTTTCAAAAAATTTTTGTTATTTTTGTTTAATTATAAAGTATGTTATTAGTATCTTATACAAAGAGCCACATTAAATTTGTCATTTTTTTTACTAATTTCATTTTTCAACTGATTAATATTTTATTTTTGGGCAAAATTATTTGAATCAATAAAATAATAGTTTTTATTATTTTATTCTTAAAAAATAAAAAAGTTAATTAAGTATTAATAGAACTTGTGTCTATTGTTCCTGGCTCAGGGGAGACTAATCCCGTCCCTTCGTCTTCGTCTTGTAGTTCAACTACATATGTTTGGTTGTGATCTCCACAGTGCTCCATGACGTCCATCATGTTTTTAATTACAAGGTTTTTAATTTCTTTAGTGATGTCAATTTCGATTTTTAATTGTTTGATTAATTTAATACTTTCGGCATTTATTAGCCCATTAATCGAAATTACTACTGGAATTATTTTGACATCCTTTAATTTCTCTATTTTCATTAGCCTATTTTTTAATTCCTTATACATATTTCTTTTCTTCCAATAGGCCCCATTAATATTATGATCTGCCACAATAGTCATATCAAATATTAGACCAGTTTTATTCTTTTTATCTAGTACATATATGTCTGGTCTTTTATGATATAGTCCATCACTTTTTGGCATTATTTGTTTGTTCCATATCATAGTGATGTCATTGTATTGGAACACTGTTTCATATGGGGGTTTCTTGTATTGTTTATTTCCTGTGTATTTTCTTATTAACCCCTCCCATATGATAATGCCAATATGGTCATGTTTCTCCATTTGTGATTTCTTATGACCAATGCAAGATAGTAGAATGTGTTCTACTGTGGCTATCTTGTATTTACAAAGTGGGCAGTACTTTAATCTTTCATTTTTTAATATTTTCGCTTTCCTGTACCCACTAAATATTGCTCCATCTTGCATTTTAGTTAATTGGAGAAATGCATTTTTCTTTATATTGATGGACTTCCATGCATTTATTGTAGTAGTTTTATCTACCCCTTTTGACTCGAACCATCTTCTAAAATGTCCACTTGTTTGATGGGACTTCCATTTTTTGATGTATTGGTCGGTCATTAATTTCTTTATTTTTACTACTACCTCTTTTTCTTTTTTATTTTCAATCCCTTCATTTATTATTTCTTCTATTTTCGTTTCTGGGATTTTATGACCTAGGGCTTTTTTAATTCTATTCCATATTCCTTTCTTGGAATACCATCTATCTAATATGTTATTTCCTATTTCACTTTCTCTTGTACAATAGTACATTATTGTTCTAATTAATTCAATAACATATTCGTCCCTTAGGCTTATTAATCCTTCACCCATTTCATTTATAGGGACATATAGACGGTCTTTGGAGTTACCGGCACCAATGTATTTTGCCTTTCTTAAATATTTTCTTATCTCCAAATCCATTTTATCTAGGTCAGTTACCTTCCAATTTACTACTGATGCTGAATATCTGAAGATGGGTATTACTTCAGTATTAATTCTTGTAATATAACTTCTATTACTACATTCATCAGTATTTATCTCTTCAAT